GATCACAAAAAGACTCCATATCGCTGGCACGTTTTGCAGGGGAGGAAAGTCGATTTGATCACTTCACGGTCCAATCGAGCCTGTCAGTTTTAGCATTCAAACACAATATGGGCTAGTTTTCTGCGTTCTTACGACCATCATGGCATTCTAACACTGTGCTGAGATTTACAGGTCTTTCATTTACTCTTTTTGTTTTTGCTTGGGTGCTAAAATGGAACAAATATGCTTTGGAGCACAATCGGTAAATAGTTTCACCATGTCAGGACATTATTAAAACTCGTGGCCTAGGCTGTTGCTGTTGTATTTCTCTAAACGTCAAGCCTGGAAAGTCAAGCCAAAGTGGGTTTATGTTAACAAAATGGAGGATTATTAATACATCTGCTTTGATGCAGAGATCTGCTTTTTGATGCTTAAACACTATTCCTTATGGAGTCCCTAAAGGGATGTGGTGATGGGAAAATAATATTAGATTGAAGGAAAAATTTTATTTAAATGCTTTTGCAATCTCTTATAAAACTTTTGCATTCACCTGAGAAACTTTGAGTTAGCTCACAAAACTTTTGTATTCTCTTGCACAACTTTTGCTGTCCCTTGAGAAACTTTGCGTTCTCTCTCAAAACTTTTGTGATGGAATAATATGAGGTGGGAGGAAAAACTATACTATAATGCTTTTTGCAAAAGTTTTATGAGTGGATGTAAAGTCAATAGGACAATTCAAAATGTTTTTAAATGCTCACGGCATTTCCATCCCGAGCCCATTGTTGGCGATATTGTTATGTAATTGCTTATGTTATTTCCCCTCAATGATTAAAAAAAGAAGAAAGAAATATAACAGTTGCAAAAATGTCTCATAATACTCAAAAAGACATTCGCTTGTCGCCATCTACTGGTGAAATCATGTAACAACACTCGCTAGTCGCCATCTGCTGGTGCATTGATGTAACCAACACTCACTATTGGTAAACTGCAGTATTGGCTAAAATATTGTGGTATTATTGTTAGTGACATAAGCAAAGTCTGGATGTGGTGCGTACTTAAAATTCATGGTGATTTGAGAATGATTTTTATGACTTTTAAAACATTCTGACAGTGTCTCCTTATTATCTTTTATATCATAGTACAAGAATGCAAGGCAATGGAAGGACATTTTGTGCCCTTTGCATATCTAATTTAAATGTCTGAGTTAAAATGAGGTTTTCGGGAAATGAGCCTGAAGGAATTTTACACTTTTTAACCTGAAAGTTAAATCACATATTCATCTCATTGATTTTGATTTTCTATGGAACCAAGAAGCTGATAGAACAGCATTAGCCAGTCCAACAAACTCTCAAAACACACGCACTCACACGCACACACACACACACACACGCACAAACACACACTAAGAAAAATGTGTACCTTGTCACTGGGACAGTACTCTCAAAGGGACATCATTGTACATTATTTTCCCCTAACAGGTTTATAGCAGTACCTTAAGGGTACATATTACCACTCAAGGCGCTGATATGCACCGTGCAGGGGTAGATAAGATACAGAGTTGTCCCTGTTGTACCCCTAAAAGTACAGTTTTTGCCCTTTTTGCATTTTTTTCTGACAGTGATTAAATATACATATTACTTATTGAGAAAAGGTAATATAGGCCTATTGCTTTTAAAGCAATCAAACTCATATTCATCTTGCGGTGGAAAAACTGGTAAAAAATCCCCATAGCCACCATCCAGAACAACCATATAGCAATGCACTAAAAACACTCATAACACCTTAGCAACCCCTGACAACCACATACAATATCTTAACATCATGAAGTCGAGTTTTGCAATATGAATACCAGAAAAAAAACTAGTTCTGTCACATGCTTTCATTTTATCACATGCTCTCTGGTCTCTATAAATCACGTTCTTGATGCATGCACCAAAATATTTGGTTTCTTAATTTTTGGACGCCCATTGATAGATCACCAGGAAACCAAAAATGCTGCTCTTTACAAATTATACCCATTAGGCACATACGGTTGGACATCTTTAATATTTATGTCACAGTCACTCACATTCTCACATTACATTCTCCGGATTTGCTTCAAGAACAATTTTAAGAACAGTCCCACAGGTTTTACTTTTGATTCAAGGCATTGCGGTGGGTGGATTTCGAAGCAACATTTTGTGTTGACACAAGACAGTGACAGTGTCAAGAATTATTATGCAAGAAGAGAGAAGACAATGGCTTATCTGCAGTGCCTCTGCATCTGTGGAGGTGACTAATTTCTCCAAGCTACGGAACCACGGAACCATGATAACGTGTGAGAGAAAGAGGCAAAGCCAAAATTGGATGAGCTCTGCTCTACTTTTCACAGGAAGGAAGAGCTGCCCACATCGCTGGAATCTGACATGCTCTCTTTTCTCTTCACTCTGTGGCCTCCTGTCTGTTTGACAGCCTGATCTGTGTTTACTTCCTCTCAAAAAATACGGACAAATCATAGACGGCCATGAACGCCCCCTCTTCCTCTCCCTCAGTCTTTTTTCTGTGTGCAAGTGTGTGTTCGAGACGTCAACCCTGATGTTCCCTCTCTCCCTGCCGGTATTTCCACTTTCTCAATGCATGTCAGCCAAGTGGAAAAGACCTGTCAATCAAGTAAAGCATGCACACACAACAGTGTTTCCTGCAGAATTAGTTTTTTGCAAAAACCTGTGCAACCCCTTTTTACTTGGTCCTAACACATACATTTATTTATAAGTACAATTAATTTAACTCATTAATTTGGTAGCATTAAATATTAAAAAAACCTTAAAAAATGCACCGTGATGAGTATCTGCAGTGCCATAATAAGGACTTTTTCTACCATCAGAGCAATTTAATTTCATGTTTGATTCATTAAACAATTCCTCTCATAAGAGTCTTCCATGCTGCGTTTTTTTTTGTTTGGTGTTGCTTGCAGCCAGTGAAGCAAATGCAATAGAAAGATGTGTTGTCTACAATATTTTTTTCTATGCCATCACATTCAATTCAGACTGCAAACTCACAACTTGGGTAAAACATAATTTATTTTGTAATGGTGCTGTGCTGGAAACACTGGCATAAACATAATTAAATGTCAAAGAACACATGCAGATCTTGCAGTAAAAGTAATTCTGCACTTCCAAAATTACTCTGAATTTTGACAACAGACAGATGTTGCTACTGATTCATGTCCTCAACTGAACATGTTCTTCTGAACTTACATAAAACGTCTCAGGTTACTTATGTAACCATGGTTCCCTGAGTAGGGAACGAGACACTGCGTCCTCTAGGGGTCGCACACAAAACTTTCTAGATGATGTCTTTCCAAGAGGGCCACACATGTCAAATAATTGTACACTTCCATTCAAAAGTTTGGGGTTGGTAAGTTTTTATGTTTTTAAAAGTCTTTTATGCTCACTAAGGCTGCATTTATTAAATACAGTAAAAACAGCAATATTGTGAAATACTATTACAATTTAAAATAACTGTTTTCTATTTGAATATCTTTTAAAATATAATTTATTCCTGTGATACAAATCTGAATCATTACTCCAGTCTTCAGTGTCACATGATCCTTCTGAAATCATTCTAACATCCTGATTTGCTGCTCAAAAAACATTTAAAATTTTTAATCAATGTAGAAAACAGTTGTGCTGCTTAATATATTTGTGGAAACTTTGATATGTATTTTTTTCTGGATTCTTTGATGATTAGAAAGTTCAAAAGAACAGCGTTTATTTGATGTTGAAAACTTTTGTAACATTATAAATGTCTTTACTGTCCCTTTTAGTCTCCAAACTTTTGAACAATAGGCTATATAACAATAGAAATCTGGCCATAAAGTTGTACGATCCACATAAATGGGCACTTAGAGGGTTTTTAGTGAGAAAAATCTTTCTAGGGCTAAATTAACTTTTAAACAGGGTTCTGACCTACAACCCACATCTCCATATCCACTGACATCACTGAAATAATTTTGAAAGGATGCTTGGTTTCCAAACCAACTTGGTGTCCAATTGGCTTGTGTTAGTGGTGTTTTTACTTGAACAAACCATTCTCACTCACTTCCATGCACTATATTTCGTTCATTGAACACTCTCTTGTGAAGCACAGGGCTGCTTTGGCCTTTTCTCACTTCAAAGACTGACTGTAGCTCATTATGGTATGGGCTGTGAAGGAGCATATCATTGGTTGGACATACTGAATGAATATGCCATATACACTGAACGAGTTGGTGTTTTGCGGCTGAATGACTTGAGACAGCACTGAACGAACTAGGACATGATGCTTGTGAGGGAACTAACCAAATGAGGTATGCCGAATGAGAATCTGCTGACAGTGACTGAATAAACCGGATAACTAGGAAAGGAAAGTTGGTCAAGAAAAACCCTGAATGTGACTTGACAAAGTCTTGACTGAAATTCAAAAATTTTTTTTAAAAGCCTTTACATTTGAAGGTTATACAGACCTTACAGCCTGCAAGACAGACAGGCCTAGGCTATATAGATAGTGTTACTGATGGATTGAAAGACAGGGTCCCATTAATGCGCAGTCTTAAGTGCAAGGCCCTCAGGCTGAGGGAGTGATCTGGTACTGGAGAAAAGTTTAAATTAAAAAAAAAATATATATTGCTTTAAAAACTTTTTAATAAAAAACTACTTTTCTATATAAGTTAGCAGTTTTTCTCTCTACAACATTATTTTGCCTGCCGATATTTTGCAGTTTAGAATCGGAGCGATGCTGAATCAAATGAATAATCTTCGATTCGGTTCACTCGTTTGAACTGATGGCATAGTAACATTGTCTGAATCGGTTTTGGATTAAGTTTGAATCTTTCGGATAGTTCGCTCACGCACTGAATCGTTTCCGGTTTCTCATTCCATAAAACAACGCGCAATTGATTAAACAAGCGAAGTGAATATTTACTTAGGCTATATACTTTATCTTATATAATATACTAACATCTTATAACATATCTTATTATATGTTATACCCAATATTTCCAACTAAAAGAGTATCAAGGAAAACGTAAAGTAAACCGTACACGAAATAATTTACCATGATATTGTAGCGTTGTTTGCTGTTTAGCATCAGCTGCTTACAATCAGAACGAGAGATTTATAATTCGTAACCGAATAATTATTTTGAGCCTGTTCTTTTCAATGACTCGACCAAACGGGAATCGGTTCATGATTCAGTTCGAATTCGAGCTCTCTGACGCGCCAAAAGTCGTTTTCGGCAATTTGTCATTCCATAAAACATAAATGAGAAACGTTTTGAACTCATGGAGCAAAAACAGGGCGGGATTAAGAAGATAACTACAATTCATGGAAACTAAACCTGGAAATACGTATTATTGTTTACCAACGATGGAGAAGGTTCAACACCTGCACGCACCACTCTCGAAAGGTAGGCCTACGTTAAATCCAAAAAGTATTAAAACAGTACGCGAAATACCTAATGTATGATGGCATTACCATGTTTTTCAGACATGTACTGTGGTTCTTATAGTGCCTTCGACTTAGAGTACCATATAAATATTAGAGAACATAAGGCCTATAAATGGTAATCATTCTTTACCATAGTACATAGCAAAACATGGTATTACCATTTAAGGCGATCACTGTGCAGTGATACCGCTGTTGTTTTGAATGGTATTTTGAGAAACAGTATCATGTGAATAAGATGATTTGTCTTTGAGAGTGTGTTCACCTTGCATCTGGCTTGTTTGTTAACCACTCCTCACTTTCTCTCCTCATTAACACACCAGCTGGCAATACAGGTTTACTGGTGTAGCTTACTTTTAGAGATGCTTTTTCTTTTCTAACAACCAGTGGTTACTTTTTGTTATATATATTTTAAGTACCGGCCTATGAATTATCTTAAATGTAGTTCAGCTTATAGTTTGCAATGTAAGATAACAAGAATGAATCTTCTGGTGAACATTCGAAAAATACAAATCTGGAAATGGCCAGCACTAGCTCCCGCATATGCATCTACACACACCCACATCTGTGAATTCATTTAAAAGCACTATTCTCCATTATTTATGGCCTTGTATCGCAGGCTTGCAATTCAGACAATAGAAGAGTGGATGCTTGTGTGTATGTCGATGAAGGCAAGAGTGCATGTGGATGGACATGTCGTTTTGGCCCCTCATTAATGGCAGCGAGAGAGCATGAGTCCTCTCTAATGCATTCTCCTACCTTGTTCTTTCTCCTCCGTAAGCGGCCTTTGCCTTCCCCTGACAGGACAGAGCCGGTTCTCAACACAGGTGTGATGTTCAACAGACAATTTGCCAGGCTTTTTTTCTTCACCCTCCTTTTTTACCTTCATTCTCTCGGGTCCCAGGGAGCGCCGCCTCTGTGAGATGGAGGGATGAAGTGGGAAGAGCAGGGACGAGAGTGGGCAGGCAAGTGGATAAAAAGGCCGCTGTTCTTTTTTCATTTGTGCCTTTTTTTTTTCTCCCTCTCATTTTCCCTCTTCTCTCAGCCAGCTTTTTCTCCGGCTGTCCTGGTTTCTGGTTCTCCAGGGCCAGGGCCTATATTCGGCCGCCATCGGTGTGGGGCTGAGGTTTCTCTCAGATTCTTTGGTTTAATCAACATTCAGCAGGCTGATAAAACAGAAAAATTCAAAGTGGAAATCCAGCTTTAGTTGCTGTTTTGTAGTGATGGACTGATATGGTTTTCAATTGCGGATACCAGTATCTAGAGCACATGGTGGCCTATTGCTGATATAATACCAATATATGAATACATTTCAGGGCTCGACAATAAGGACTGCCCGATGGCCCGAGGCCAGCGTGAAAGACGTTCGGGACAGTAGACGGATTTGTCACTTGCCCGATGGGGCCACTGCAGCGTTGTCACGACTTATCATTTGCATGTGTTTTTAAGACTTGTTAATTAAAAAATTCAAGCGATTAAAAAGCATGTGGGTGCGAAAGACAACTACATTCAGTACTCGCGCGCTGTGTTCTGTGTTGGGCTGCACGATAAATCGAAATGGAATCGAGATCGCGATTCGACAGAAGCTGCGATTGTCATGCGTATCTTTCAGTGAAGCACGGTTCTGTGATCAGTAGTAAATCGCCATCCAAAGGCCAGAGGGCGCTCTCGCGCTGAAACTCCAAATACGCCTTGCAGGAGAAACCCAGAAAATGCCTATCGCTGCAGCTGAATAAACAGAAGATTAAACTGCTTTCATTGATTCAACGTGAATAATAAACAC